ATTTTTAAAATTATCTAAGTAGTTGTTCCGCGCAATGCGTGGATTTTCACTAGTTCTTATATATTGTATGGTTGCGGAGCTACTACTTCAGTAAATTCTGCACCAATAGGTATTTTTACTTTATTTTTCTGTTTTAGAAAAGTTTGAATTTGTTTACATGGTGCTCTTAAGATTCGTTTCTTCAAAAATTCATGGAGTCTTGAATACGTTTCGTATTTTTTTAATTTAATCACCAATTTATTTGTTTTGGGTTTTATACTTTTTCTATATTTTTTTATATTTGTTTTAATTTATAATCTTTTGTTTTATAGTGTGGTCTTATCGCCACTATACTATTTACGAGTGGGATTAAACATCTCCGGTTTTGAGTATCTGAGTATTTTTGGTTTTAGGGTTATGTTCTTCTGCAACTGGAAATTCGTTCATCTTGTGTTGTGGTTTTGTACTAAGAGGTCATCCTTGCGTCTTTGGAGAAGTGTCTTTATGTGATTCCATTGGGGCAACAACTTATTCAAGCTAAGCTTGCCATTGAGGCAAACTACAACAACATAACAGCTTGGTCCTGTATTAACATAATTGGAATATGCATGTTAGAAAATTAGCAAAAGATCATAAAAAAAAAAAATCAAGAAAGATATTAAACACACTATATATGTATCTTTAAAGAGACAAGCATGTACTTTTTCGTCACTTGAGATTCTCTAATGTGGTTTCCTTATAAATGAAATTGGTGTTTTTTAACTTTGTGTATCGCATAGTTCTGTTGTTAATTAATTACGTTTTGTGGTTGTTTATCATTGTGTTTTCTAAGCTCTTACATAACTCATTAAGGAATATACAAACTTGCAAGACAAACAAATTTATCAAAAAACCAGTAACGAAAGAAAATCAAATATATGTTGTGAATGATTATGAACATCAAAGATGACACCGTATATTTGGATATAAATGAGAAAAACATTAGCAGGCAACGACGTAGATGATCTACATGTTGATACGAAAAAGTGGCCAATAGAACAAAACAATTGTTTTAACCTCAAAACAATATAGTCATAGCAAAGAAAGGAAACTTAATTGATACGAATAAAAGAAAAAATTGAGAATCTAACTCAATTAAGAATGCTAACCTACAAAAGTCAAAAACTGAGACGATCCGCCAAACAAATCGATCATGTTCATGTTTTTGAGTCAAAAGAAATGGATGAGTTTCCATTAAAACAAATAAAAATAATCGTCAATTGGTCTCTTGAGCCAAGCCAATAAATTCACATGAACAAAAAAAAAGACATTAATTTTTACTAATCATTGTCAATGAGACTTTGAAATAACTTAATTGATTAACATAATTTAAAGATGCACATCATTGTTATGTCCTCTTATGGGAGCAATCGAACCGAATTCATCAAAAAGAAGTAGGCATGGTGTTGCGGTTGCCGTTTTTGATAATATATCACGGACTTGCAAGAAGAAGCGTGTTTGTCGCTATGTGATATGGAACACTCTTTTGTAGAGCCATTTTTCCACTGAGGTTTCTAAACCATACGCATGAAACCAACATAATCAAAATAAACTCAACAGGAGAAAACAAGCACTATTGAAGGTTTGCAAAAGCATGATAATCAAAGAAAGGTGGTATTCTTACAAAATGTGGAGAAGAACCGATATTGGTTATAGCCTATTTTATTATAAATACTAGGTGCAGGTTTGTTTTGCAATATGGTTGTGATCTTTAATTTTGACCTTATTATTTTCCTATTTTTGATGTTTTTAACATCACTATTGAAGTATTTCAAAATTTTCATTTCCTGTTTACTTACTTATAATAGAGTGAAGAAGAAAGATGAAAGGAAATAAAGAGGCTAATTGTGTACTTTCTGGTTCTAAAAATGTTTCTGGTTTTTTCTCAAGCTCAGTGGTGAATGACAAATATGGGTAAAAACTCTTTTTTCAACGAGAAAGAGTTTTAAACCATCGATTTGGTTGGCAGGTCGTCATGTATAATATAACATATTATCAAACACTACAACATTCAATTGATGCAAGACATATTTATGATCCTTCCACGAGAGGTTTCTCAACCTTTTGAGCTATAGTAGCGATTGCTAATGA